CATGACTTAGGGGTCCAAAAAGTATTTGAAATGACTATTTCAAAAATCTATGAATATTTCAAAATCTATGAATATTTCAAAAACCACCAAAAACATGCCTTTTTGGAATTTTGGTGATTTTTGAAATATTCATATAAAATCCTTTTCGGAGTTTTAAACACAAAATATTCACGTGGCAGCATGTTTTAGGACATAATCTTGCATTTTAAGGCATTTCTGGGACTTTTTATTTTTTGGTAACTTATTGATATAGTATTTTACTGTGATCAAATGTTTGCGTACCAAAGGATCATCACAGTCTATTTCTGGATTTAAAGGTAACCCACAGATAGTCACCCCATTCACTTTACGTGATTCGGTCATAAACGAGTCACTTTGTCCGAGGAGGGGGAATTAGTCACCAGAACGACCTGTGTGAGCGAACTTTTCCCTGAAACTATTGTCATTTTTATTGTTATTACTATCAGCATTGTTTGGATGCTAAAGCAAAATGAGATATTCCACCCCCACTTCAAAAACACAATGGACAAATAACATGAGAATTATTGCGGGAGGCATTTTATGGAGGAGCTAGGAGCTCATTTGTATTTCTTTAAACTTTTATCTCCACCGCCAGCAGCTTATTTTAGACGCCACAATTGTTTCTCTTATTGCAAACAATAAACATGTGAATGAAAAAAAAAACAGCACAAAATAAGCTGTTCAGTAAATCACTGACATAGTTTAAGTCTATTCATTATTTTTAGGTTTTCTCATTAAAAAGAAAGGTATTACAAAATAAAGTCCTGGATCTTTGGATTTAATTATGTCCACCAGATTGAAAAAATCACTTCCTGCTTGCCCTCCATCGGGGCCACAGCTTTAGACCACATACTGTAGTGATTTGGACTTGTCTGGAAACAACCCAACCTGGGACTGTAAACTCGGCGGAACCCTCTGCATGGAAGGAATTGGACTGCATCAAGCACAAATCAAGCACAATCAATAAAATATTTAACTGTATTGAATGTTAGTGAATCAAATCACAGCCAAAATATCATCCAGTAAGTCCGTGTCAGGGAAGGAGAACCAGAAAACCATGTTGTAACTAGAGCATGAATGTTTAAAAGTTCAGAGACATTTAAAAAAATAAAAATAAATAAAAAAAATCAGCAATTAAATCTTAAAATTAATCCCTAATGGAGACCAGAAGTTATTGGAGTGAAACTGAAACCCAGGAAATGTGTTGCCGTCTTCTCGTTCCTGGGAGAATGAGCCAAGAAGCAACGATGATCATTAAATAAGAGAGGTTGGTGAAATTAGGCATTAAGACAGCTGCAGTAGTTCTACTGAGTCATGACTGATGCACACACTCATTCATGTATTCATTCATCTTCTGCAGCCTTCGTCTCTTCAGGGTTTCCTGGCAGCTGAAGCCACATCCAGCATATTTATTTATTTGTAAGTCACACAGAGACTAGTCAACATACCAGTGACCACAGTGGTTGGTTATGTTACACTACTCGTTGCTCTTTAACATAACTGGGATGAAGTGACACACTACTGACAGTAGTGAATGTGATTTAAAATGCACCGAAGTACAATACTTCAAACAAAACAAAATATATATAACAATTATTAACTTTTTGCCAAAATCTGCTATGACGAGTTTGTCCAAACACTTAATTTCCAGTGTCTATATCATCCGATACAGATATAGCGGGGCAGTGGTGGCCTGGTGGTTAAGGAATTTAAGTGCTGCTTTCTTACTAAGATGATGGGTTAAAGCAGTGTTTCTTGAATATTTCTCGACGGTCCAGATTCTTTTGTCCTCTACGTGACGTTAGTGGATAAGACAACCTGCAGGACTGAGGACCTACATCTGACGTCCTACGTCCTATATAAACATGTTAATTACCAGTGTGTTTAGCAGGATGACAGAATATTTGGACTTCCTGAGTCAGTGCTCAGCATGTTGGTGGTTTTTGACAGTCACATACTTTTTTTTATCTTCGTACGGAAACAGAAGGTAAACCAAACCGAAGCAAACTTTTCCTGCCAGCCTCCCAAACACACACCGGTCCCAGCTGTCACTCTGCAGCCATGTGTAACAGAGGCAAACAAACAGTGGGGGCTGCTGCCTGGATGAACGCAGCCCATCGATCATCACACAGCGCCCCCTCCCCACCCCCACCCCCCCCCACACACACACACACACACACACTCCCTGGAAGAGGGAGACAAGATGATGTGGAAAGAGAGAACTGCGGAGTGATCGAATGTGTGCGTGTGTGTGTGTGTGTGTAGATAAGGTGGTAGACGCTACAGACCTCAGTGGTGCCAGACTCTCCAGACTCTGGTCTCCAGACATTCCCTCCAACCTGTGGTCAGTTGTTCTTTCTACGTCCAGCACATCCTCCAGGACGGTGCAGCATTGTTTCAGTAGAAGAATAGGCCTAGGATGAAATGAGATGGAGGAGGAAATTAATGGACAGCACTAAGGGAAATGAAACCTTTTCAAGGTATAAAAAAAAAATCATAATAATGCGAAGGACAAATGGAGAAAATTAGTTGGAATAATAATCTCTAAAATCTTACCCTTACTGAAAATGTCATATAAAAATGTAATCTCTAGTTTGGTAAATTACTGAAAACACATTATTATTATTAACAACTACAACAACAACAATAATAATAATAAAATTACTTGGCTACCACAGGAGGCGCTATTGAGTACATTGTTGCAACTTACAGGGTGCCACACAGAAGCTGCCATTGGGGATATGCGTTTCCTCTGGGAATGGAACCCAGGACTCTCTGCTACACTACGGAGACACAACAATGTTGATCCACGCAAACATAAATGAACACAGTGGAAAAAGATCAAATATGAAAAGGTCGTGCAAACGGAGCTAAATTCACATCCACTCCTCATGAATACAGACAGCGTCTCACTGTGCTGCACATGAGGAAAAATCCACCTTTAGATCCAACACCCCAGTCAGACGCCTTGTTAGGCTAACCTAAACCTAAGCTGCTGGTTAACCATTAGAGAAGGACGTTCTCATCACTGTTTGTTACATTTTTTTAAATATTTTCCATCATTGTCCACATATCCAGAGACTGGAGAAAAATCTGGTCCTGAAGAAAAAGAAAATCAGCGTTACTGATGGAGCTCATGTCTTTGTCCTTCTGCCTCAAAAATCAAGCTTTCAAACCAAACTCCATGTTTTAGTTTTTCAGTGTTAAAAAAACAGCACCAACTTTCCTGGAGATGTGGTTGGCAGTTTTCTCACATAAAGGAGCTGTGTGCCCCCCCCCCCTGCCCCTCCCCTGGCCCCCCCCCCCACACACACACACCTCCAGGCTGTCTTTACTCTCATCACCCCACCCTTAGTCCTGGAGAAAAGTTCAATCTTTGCATTTTCATTGTGGCTGCCTACACCGTACCGCTGCCTCATGAAAGTTTCATCTCCCTCTGACCTCCCTCTCTTTCTCCCCCCTGTCACACATACAACCGCGGCTGACTCCAGCTCCCCAGGTGAGGAATGATGATGAGAAACGCCAGGCACCCAGCAGAGATTTGCCATGCTGTGGCTGTGAGCTCTGTGGCTCAGCCCGGGGCAGAATGAAAACACCCTGTATGGAGAGAGACTGGAGTTCCCTTCATATCGGTGCCAAACAGCCCAGAGAAAAACCATGCAGCTCTTCTGATTCAAGATCTTTGTAAAAGAACAAATACATGCAAGACATTCCTCCAGTGGATGCTAACACTTTCTGTCAGGAATTATTTAGAGGCAGACAAACATCTCTGAAAAGGACAGAGCTAAAACGATCAGAGGAGCACCTGTTACACTTTAATATAATAGTTCTTCATAAATATATGGTCATATCTTACTTTCATTACAATTTCACTGAAATTATTAATTATAATGTAATTATAATTACATAATTAATTAATACAAATTGCTATTGAACTATTTATTTAGTACTATAAGTAGTTAATGGTAATATTTACTAAGAGTTTGTAGAAATATAAAACGATGTTAATGGTAGAGCCCATTTTTATCTATAATTTGTCAAAACCAAATCTAAAACAGAAATCTATCAGTTTCAAAAGGTTGACTAATAAATATTTATTCGCCATAGAACAGTAAGAATAAAAAGTTTAAAAAGATATAGCTAGAATAGCAAACACAATCTATCACTAGCCAAATGTTGTTAAAACAGTTAACAGTATGCCCATCAATAGCTAAAAGTTAGCAAAAATGAGGCTGAAAGAGTTAACAGTGAGCCCTTCAACAGCAAGCAGTTAGCATAAAAAAAACCTGAAAGAGTTAACTGTAAACCCACCAAATGCTAAAAGCTAGCATAAATATGGCTGCAACAGTTAACAGTAAGCCTATCAATAGCTAACAGTTAGCATAAACAACTATAACAGTTTCCTGTAGGCCTTTCAATAGCTAACAGTTAGTGCAAACATAGCTATAACAGTTAACTGTAAGCTTATCAATAGCTGAAAGTTGCCTAAAACCAATTCATTAGAATTAAATACTTTTTAAATACTAAATTACTGAATAGCACACCCTGCTGGTGGGGCAAAAAATCAGTTTGAAGAAAAGAAACCATGAGCAACATAACCAGATACAGTAGAAAATGCAGGCAGTAAACGTGTTCAACATGAAAAGCTCATGTTCATGAAACTATTGCAGCTACTTTACAATGACAAAAAGGACAAAGACGTTCTCCACTACTCACCATGTAAATCATCAACACTTCCCGTGCTGCAAATCAAGTGAATCCAACCCTAATGTCACTGCAGTCGTTCCTCCACTCAGTAATTACTGATCCATTCCAGCCTGTAGGACATAATGTAATAATGTTAGCAGGGCAGAGACATTAGCGCTGTGATGATAGCAGACAATCAGGAATCGGATTATTAACCGTTCAGGCCGCAACACAACACATTAGGTACGAAATGGCAATCATTGTAGGGGGCGGGGGGCAATCACTGCAACACAACAAAGTCAGAGGTGAAGGACAAGTGTTTAAGAACTGTTGCTGTTTTAAACTCTCAAAAACTTTAAAGGAAGTTGCTAACGATACACTGTTAGTGAGTTTTCCGCAATGTCACGTAAACAAACGGATTGTTGCAGCTTTTACTCAGAAGACGGCAGCAAATGAGTGGAAAGAGAGCAAATATCACTTTGTAAATACCAAATTACTGCAGGGCCTCAGAACAGAGAAGGAATTGCTGCAGTCATACATCAGAGTGACGGCTCCTGCTGAGACAGGCGTGCACACGGCCGGAATAAATCTGAAAAGCCGATGCCTGGTGGCGGTGAGGCCTTCACTCTTTTTTAAAGCATTGTCGTCTTTGTTCGCTGCGTTAACGTCTCCGTCTTGATTCTGTTCATTTAAATTCTTTTTAAAGTCACTGCGGTCGTCATCCAATTTGACAATACATTTAAGAACGCAAACCAAGGACCTTTTCAACAATTTAAAGAAGTAAAATTGAACCAAAAAAGTGATTTATAAATGAACATTTACGCCTTAGCAAACCAAGTGGTCAAGATAGTTCATGTGAAGTCCTTAATGGATTAAAACTAATAAAAGTTCACATTACCCAAGGCTACGCGTAGAATGAATAGCTAATGAATATCAGGAATCTTGGGGAAAAAATAGCTTAATGTTAGCACATAATGAGCTAAAAGGTTAGTTTGTCGTACAGGACGTGAAAACTGAATAAAAAATAAAGGAAGTTAAGAATGTTTTTTAGCAATATTGGGAAATTTTCTTTATAATTATTTACCATCTACTAACATCAGTTGCTGCACTACTGCTTTCTGGCTATCAAATGAACTTTAGGTACACTACTGCCACCTACTGGGCTGGAATGTAAGCAAAGTGTTTCCAACGTGCTAAAAACTAGGAAGCTGAAAAAAGGTGAGTTTAAATAAAGTCATTAAATAGAGTGATGTGGGAGTTTTTTGCACCAGCTGTTATCTGAATAGTTATTTATGACGACGACGTGTTGTTAAAAAAAAAAACACGCAGCGACAAGGTCGACTTTTTCAAATCTTTTTTTGTTGACTTTTACTGTACTTTTCAGGGTTTTCTTTTCCCCACGAACAGTTAATTCTAACATGTCGTACTCTGAACCGTTTTATCACACACTGATGACATCACAACCACAGTCCCCGTCTGCTGCTATAATAAAAACACACAGGTATTTTCAGATGTTGCTGCAGCCTGAGGTGGAGGCAACAGGCAGGAGAATCCAAACAGATCATTTCAGGTCTCACTGAGAGCAGATGTTGACGGAGTGTGATGTGTGAATGTGTGTGAATCTGACCACAGCTGCCCCTCTGGTGGGAGGGGGAGATGAAAAAGTGCAACAGAGGGGAAAAAGGGAAGGAGAAAAACTATGTTTGGGAAACAGGCACGGTCAGGCTCAGAGAGCCAGCTGGGATAAAACCACATGATTCTGTCTGGACTAGAGGAGATGGATTGGTCCGTCTCTTCCTGCCCGTGCTGGGGGTCAGTGTTAAACCGGCGGGGCAGATAAGAGCTTGGCAGCAGTTTGTACCTTGGTCATGGTTTGGAACGTGTTACCTCGTAGATTTAATAGGATGTGAGCGCAGAGCGGAGCCCTTCAAACTGAAGAGGTGTACGGCTCTACATCAACGTGTCAGAGCCTGCAGCGCCTCCGATGATCGGTTCTGCCACTGCACCACCTGAGTCTCTGGGAACGGTGGAGCAGATCGTACAGCAAGGTCCAGAATTCTGCCCATCGCAGTGATGGTGACTGCTCTGTAAAAGAGGAGAGGCGCTAATTAGGTATTTTAATTCATAATGAATTCTGCTCTCAACAGTTTTAGTAATCAAAGAAAATTAGAATATAAATAAAATAAAATGCTGTTTCATTTTAGAGTACATTTAGAGTAGATTCAAATACTTTTTTTTTTTTAATTAAAAAGCAGCAAATAATCCAAAACAAATGTATCAGGGGGATAAAAAAAAAAATTTCTCTTTAATTAAAGACACAAAGGGCCAAAATGTGGGAATTAAAAAAATTCAGTAGACCGTTGTCATGGAGATGACTGCTCACACCTGCTGACTGAACCACAACTCAGTGAAGACTGCTACGTTTTTTTGCCTCATGCATTCAGTCAATTTATATAATATAAATAAAATATATTTACATGTAGCTAAATTCCTCTCACACTGCCCCCTACTTGTTGCACTGTTCTGAGCAGTTGTTAAAAAATGAGGTCGTGATGCGTACTGGTCAGTGTACAGTAGTGGAAAGACAATAAAAGTCCATTTTATTTTATATGAAGTAAAGGTGGAGGTGGAGGAGGAGTGTCCCGGTGGTGGTGTGAAGTGGATGCTGGGAGAGGAACAGCCCAGGCTAGGATGTCTATAATTACATATTGATTTCTCAGGGGCCGTTGTTCAACCAGTCCTGGGAAAGTATGACATAAATCACCGGGCCTGTATGATGGCTGTGTATTTATTCTTTTAATTCTGTTTATGGTGATGTTGATTCATGGCCTGCGGCCCTGTTCACGCCTCGGCCCCCGCTGCCCTCCTCATGTCAGGGGCAGATCATGGTACATGGCTCTGTAGGCAGTGAATCAGGAGCAGGACATGATAACATCTGAGAGAAAATGAAGGCCCCTGAGAACAACACAGGGGCCACTTTACTACCATTGATCCAGATCAGAGTGTGGGGAGATAGGGGTGAGGGGAGGGGGGGAGTCTCTAAGGATTTTCTCACTAGACTGTGTGAAGTCCAACAGAGGCACCTGTACACTGACAGAACGGGCATGAACCAATGACAGTATTTATTAGGAAGTATTCATTCAATCATCCAATGACATGGTAGCAGTATAGAGCATTTATAGTACTGTATATATTTATATCTAAATAATATTGTCTTTGACACAGTATCACGTCAATATATATATATAGTACATATAGTATCTAGTGCATAACATATACATATATACATAACATATATACATTTTAATGTTTTTTCAGCATACATTTCAGCATACATATGCGTACATACATATGTATATACAGTGTATACATATATACATACAGTATATATATGGGTAAAATATTATTTTTAATCATGATAGAATTAAAAAATCAACAAAACACTTGATTTCTGTATATCGCTGGGAGAGAGCAGGAAGATGATGTGAGTGTTTCTCTACTGTTTCTATTTGTCACTGACCCAAATAATTGAATTATTAATATGGAAAAAATGTGAAAAAAATATACAAGTCCAAGTGAAAATGTCTCTTCATAGAGTTGATGTGTTACTCTATGAAGTTGGTTTGTAGAACGTGTCAACACAAAGTTGAAGCCTCAACAAACACCTGCTGAGAGTTGCCAAGGAATTTAAGCTCCAGAAAGCCCACGTGAAAAGGAAACTTTCCTCCGTGTCTGTGAATACTGTAACGTGAATCAAAGCAAAAACAAGTGGATGGAAGGTGGAATTATCACGAATACAGCGGACGTGGTTATGCGCTGGATTGTTAAGTAATTAGCGTGACTACTGCAGACATTTTGACAGCCCCAATGTTGTTCTCGTTTCCCCTTGTAACAGAAACTGACAACGATGTGTCTGTTTTAAACGAATTAACCACTGCACGCTCTCTGACAACAATATTTTTCTGTGATTATTCAACCCTGTTGCTGCATTAGAATCAGCAAGTTTCTAAATGATATCAACGTAACTCCGATTTTTCATTAAATCCTAAGTTAAATGCTGGAAAGAGCGAGAACAGAAACTGCAAATTCATCTGAATATCATCATTTGCTGGAAGATTTCTTTGGCTTGTGATAAAGCAATAATTAGATCCTTCTCACCGCTGTGTAATGATCTTTTCTAAATTATACTCATTATCCCAAGTGGGCAGCAAATGGTACGAACTAATGATATATCAGACTTGGTAAATTACATTTTGAAAAGGGGACGATATAAATATTAGAGGAAAATGCCAGGTTCTGTGTTTGTTGGTGGGCTCAGATGGAGCTACATCATTGGTGGAGGACAGCATCATTACTGCTGCGATGCTAAAAGAGGCAGAGGAGGAGGAAGATGAGATGAACTCTATTGATCTCTGAGGAGAGGTTCTGTTATTACCGCGGCAGCAACCTGATATAGATGGAACCGGGTGTATAAAAGTGATGGTATGAAAGATAAACAATACACCGGCCCGGAATAATTTTCCTGCCGGCGGAGTCTTCAGTGACCTGCAGCAGACCGCAGCTTGTGCCACGAGCAGAGGTGTGTGTTACAAACGTGTTCCTCCGTTTCTGCAGAGACAGATGTGAAACGTAGCAGATGATGAGGTCCGGGTGAAAAATCGCTTTCGGGCTTGACTTCAAATTGTCAATTTCATTTTGGCCCGCGGGCTGTGAACTCCGAGACCGTGTTCACTGAATGGTGGGTAACTGACGGAGGTGGGTGTGGAACTGTGTTTGAATATAGATTAATAAATATATTCCAGAGAATGTCTCAGTGTTAGTGATAGAAGAAAAGGATAGGGATTATCTCTAATGGCGTAGACTCTCGTCCAATCAGGTTAGACTTTAAGACCTGCTGAGACCTGATGTGTAGCCAGTAATAAAAACCAACATTATTTCTAGGTGTGAACGATATTTTATAAACTAATATTCTGTGGCTGATATCAATACAATAACTGATGACATCATACTGTCTATTCAGGAACTAATGATTTCATATCATCTTTGTTTCTGTTGAAAGAAATGCTAAAACTCACTGCACTGACTTTCCCACTGTTTTAAAGTGCGTTTGTTTTGCTTTAAATACGCCCCACTCAGCGGACTTTGAAATAACTTTGCTGTGTTCAAACTAGACTCTTTGCTCTTTCAAAGTTCAGCAGCGTTGTCATCCTCTAAGGCCATAAAAACATCCAGACTGAAGACATGTTGTGCTAACTCTGGTTGGCTATTTTTAGCCCCTATGCTAATGGCTCTGTTGCAGCACAGGGGTATGATGTCAGGAGTGCGAGGAGACTGGAGGCTGTCTGCTCAGGAGTGAAACACACTGCGTGAAACACATCATTAGAGTGACAAAACTAACACACCATCAGCCAATGGTGATCTCTAACGTCGCACAGCCGCGAGGTCTTCCTTTGGCCGAGCCGCTCCCCTTATTCTCCGGACACCAACAACCGCCCCCACAGTCTGCCTCAGGAGTTTGTGTTCATTTCCTGATACAGATGAACTCCTGGAACATCATTAATGCTGATTTATTGTAATTACATCACAGTATTTTCCTCAGTGATTTATTGTAATTACATCACAGTATTTCCTCAGTCTGCCACATCCTTAGGGAACTGAGCGCTTCATTTTCTCCCTTTTGCAGATGATATGATATTACGCTGGGTATCTAACCTCCAGCCTGCGCGGCAAGGCTGTTTGCTGCTACGTGTTAGCCGCAGGGATCAGAGACCACACCTGCAAGTCTGAGGCCACAGCTTTCTGTGCCCTTCAGGTTAGAGGTGGATTTACAGCCTCAGGCAATGAAGTCTTAGGGTTTAATATATGAGTGATTAAAAGCTCAGACGCGAGAGTTACTGCTGCAGCATCAGCACTAATGCGGCGGCCGTACAGGACTGGAGGGAGCTGGTCATCAAAAGAACCTGTTAGAGAGGATTTAACATTTCATTAGGACTCTCTCTCAGGGTGCATGCCACAGGGGATTGTCTTGGCATGTTCATTAGGGACTGGGTCCCACCAGGGCACGCAGCAGAATTTCAAATGGATCTGAAGAACCTTACTTGGGATGTTTTTCATTTCATTCACAAAGGAGTGCTTTCAAATGATTTATCACAGCTGTGGATTAGTTGATTATTATTTAGTGATTAATCACGATTATTCAGGATGAATCAAGACAAATCAACATTCTTACATTTATCACTGTGTATTGCTGGAACAGAAAGACAAATAAAATCCATCAGACAGTTGTGTCAGTCGTGGACTTGACCTGCACCAAGAACCAGGATCAACTGAACCTTACAATTAAACGCCCCAAACTGGAGGGAAAGGAGTTATTATAGAAATATATGAATAAATAATTTCAACATCACGTCACCTGACCACCTTGTTAATGACTTTGGTAGCAATAACTAGTAACCAAGGAGACAACTATCACACCGGATCTGGAGAAACCATCCGTAAATCATCAACTTGACGTTTTCCTTTCCAAACAGCTTAGGCTCCAATCTGGGCACAGCCCCGTCACTCTATTTTTTTTTTTCTATCGTCTGAATTTGATCAAGACGAAGACACAAAGAGAGCGCCATTACCGTGATTTATGGTCACAGTCGCCGTTGCCGTGGCAACCCAACTTTCAATACACTCACCTCTGTGAAAGCAGTTTGGAGCCTCATGGCTCGCTCACTAATGCACACAGGTCTTCCCACACCGACCACTTAAACACACACACTCTCTCTCTCCCTCGGCTGAGGCGCATGTGTAACACACTTCATTTGACACATTCAGGTTACAGACTGGACGATAAGCACTGCACTCAAATATGAACTGAATTAATTTGCACTAAAAACAGAGCAAAAACAATTCAACAACCCGTCACGGAGACGTTCTCTTCCCTCGTGAGCTGCAGATCAGCGGCTGCACAGACAGAATGAGTAGAGGGCAAAGCAGGAGATGCCGATCCAATTCAGCAGGGCTGTAATTTAGCCTGATGAGTTGAGGCCGCCTCACACTCACCTCTCAAACCCTCACCCTCTGTTTGTCTGGTTCAG